CCATGTGCCCGTCCACACCAGCCACTCCCCTACCTCGGGCCCAGGCTCAGCATGGTGACCCAGCACCCTGTGCCCATCCACACCAGCCACTCCCCCAATACCAGGCACCCATCCATGTCAGCAGTATCCCCCACCTCAGGCTGAGGCTCAGTGTGGTGACCCAGCGCCAGGCGCTGGTCCAGCTGCACATTCGGCAGACACCTGACCCCCTCTCTGCTTCTGCGACACTACAGGGAGCCAGTCGGTGTCCTATCTTTAGGATCACTGCGAGAATGAGGGGTGGATACAGCCGGGTGCACTGCGCCCGACACACGTCCTGTGCTGGGGCCGTGGTTAATACAGCCACACTGTGACAGGCAATACCCAATGCCAAGCTGCTTTCCCTTGTGAACCATTTCCTAAGGGTAAATGCCTGCAGAACACTGTGGTCAGAGGAGGAAAAAGCGTGGTTCAGACTCCCACACGTCCTCCAGTGCGGGGCTCCATCACCTCCTTTGTTTTCTCCCCTCAGTCGGTATTGCCCACTCCTCGGGACTTGTCAGCCCGGCTCCCTGATGACTGGTGAGTGTGAGTACCCTGCTCTTTCCACACTGTGCCCGATGTCTCCACCTGCGCTCAGAGCAGCCTGCCATGCTGCCCCCTCCCTCTAGTATCCAGCGCTTCACCGCCAGACAATTCAGATTTTTCTCACAGTCTGCTCCTGGGGCTTCTACTCCACTTCCTCGTTTACGTCAATCCTCAGCCAGTATCGCCCTCCCCAGCGCCCTACCTCTCTGCCAGGTTTCCGGGCCTGTGCACAGAGCTCAGGAGGTGGAGAGACTCAGCCTGTCACCATGCTGGCTCTGACCACCATACCCTCCCTGGTGGGGAGACGGGAGGACGGGGGGAGAACATCATCCAAGGAGGCTGCCCACCCCACCCAGTGACGTACCTCCCGGATGCGGAGACAGGAGGATGGGGGAAGAACGTCATCCAAGGAGGCTGCCCACCCCCGCACTGTCCCTAAGCTCACTCCTACTTGCCCCTAACTGCCAGTCTTCCTGCTCCAGGCCTGTCCCCGTGGGACTCATGACATTTCCTAGGTGGCAACTGGGGCCCTTCAGATTCCCTGGTGTTCTCACCCTCTGAGGTAAAGCAACATGACACGGGGAGGGAATGGGGCATCTCTGCCAGTCCCCCGAAAGAGTCAACGACCACATCCTGCACACGGAGCTGGAGGAGGCACCACAGTGATGTAGTGACACACGGTGACATACGGGCACACAGTGACAGAGCAGAGTGACACAGAGAACAGGGACACGGTGACATGGTGACACAGGCACAGTGACACAGAACACAGTGACAGAGCAGAGTGACAGAACACAGTGACACAGTGACATGGTGACACAGGCACAGTGACAGAGAACACAGTGACAGAGCAGAGTGACAGGACACAGTGACATGGTGACACAGGCACAGTGACACAGAACACAGTGACAGAGCAGAGTGACACAGAGAACAGGGACACGGTGACATGGTGACACACAGGCACAGTGACAGAACAGTGACAGCAGTGACAGAGAACACTGACACGGTGACATGGTGACACAGGCACAGTGACACAACACAGTGACAGCAGAGTGACAGAGAACACTGACACGGTAACA